TCCCGATCCCGATCCCAGTCCTGATCCCGATCCTGATCCCGATCCCGATCCCGGTCCCGGTCCCGCCCCGACGGGATGGGGCCGCGTCCTGCCCCACGCGTCACCTGCGGGCAAAACCACCGCTATCCTGGCGTGAAGGAACTTGTAAGTGTGGGGCTGTGCCCGGGATTGGGGGATTTCCTCGAACGGCTTCCGTTTATTTATTTAACTATTTATCTATCCATCTATTCATTTATTTATTTATTGTTTCGTTTCTTAAGGGGTTTTATGTATTACCTACTTTTATTTGTTTGTTTATTTATTTATTGTTTCGTTGCTTAAGGGGTTTTATGTATTACCTACTTTTATTTGTTTGTTTGTTTGTTTATTGTTCCATTGCTTAGGGGTATTAAGTTATTTAGTGCCTACTTTTATTTATTTATTGTTTAATTATTTGGGGGGTTATGTTATCCATTGCCTTTATTTATTTATTGTTTCCTTAGTTAGGGGTTTAAAGTTATTAATTGCCTTTATTTGCTGGTTTATTTATTTATTTATTGTTTCCTTACTTAGGACCTTAAAGTTACTAACTGTCTAATTTTATTTGTTTGCTTGTTTGTTTTTTTGTTTGTTTTATGGTCTTAAGCTGTGCCAATGGTCTTAAGGTGTGCCAGGGGAGGTTTAGGTTAGATATTAGAAAGAATTTCTTTACAGAGAGGGTAATCAGACATTGGAATGGGCTGCCCAGGGAAGTAGTGGATTCTCTGTCACTGGAGGTTTTTAAGATAAGACTGGATGTGGCACTTGGTGCCATGGTCTGGGAACCACAGCAGTAGTGGATCAAGAGTTGGACTCAATGATCTTGGAGGTCCCTTCTGTGGCAGTTTGAGCCAACCCAGCTGATTCTGTGATTCTATGATTTATTTACTGTGTAATTGCTTAGGGGTTTTCATTTATTCATTGCCTGGGAGTGGGAGTGAGCAGCTGGGAACAATGAAGGTCTGATTGACTGAGATGTGTGGAGGCACCATGTGGACAAACACCAGCCTCCCCCAACACACAAACACCCTGCTGCTCTGCACACACCATCCCTCGGGAGCTTGCACACCCCGTAACCAGCTCCTCTGCCAGGTTCACAAACCAACCCTCACCAGGGCTGGGCAACCCCAGCCCTGAAGAAAAAAGAAGCAAGACAAGTTTCGGTAAACTACAGACACCCCAGTGTTTATTATAAACTGCAGATTAGTGGGATAGGCACAAC